TTGACTGCCTTGTCTGTTTGGACTGAAAGGTGTTCAAGGCAGAGACTGTTTCTTACAATTGTTACTTCTGATGCCTAGAACAACGGGACAAACACTTGATTGGAGCCTTCAGGTACTACTTTAATACAACCACATAATACCAGTATTAATTTAAAAAGGAGGTGGCAGATATAAAATGCTTCGCAACATAGTAAAATGAATCCCCACATTATACTTAGCACTAATTTATGTTGACATTATTGCAAAGCTTCTGTAACAAGCACAATAAAATGCACAGAGACAGCAGCAATGCAGAGAAGTGTTACCAGGCAGCTCTAGCAATCAAAGCAGACCGTCTGAACATCACAAAAATTCAACAGATATTTTGACTATATATTTCCTAATAGGTATTACTCATATACATTGTCAAAAGCTGCAGTCAGAAAGTTGACTTCCAAATTAATCACAAAAAATGAAAACATTGCATTCTTAAAGGGGAACTGAACCAACAGATCCAACTTGTTTGCTAACTGGTAATCTTGCCCTGTTCCTCCCCCATACACATGCATCTGTCCAAAATGCTTGTGAAATTCAATTAAACCCAACTCAAAACCAAGAATCTTCACAATATGTCTGGTTAAAGAGTCTAGGCTATACTTTTATATTTATGGAAATGCCTGCTTTTAGGGATCTGTTCAATGTTTAAAGAGATAAACTAATACGTTCTACTTGTACAGGATTTTCTGTTGTATGTGCAGCTGCCCTGAATTTACCTGAAAGTGACTGCAAAAAAACCCCCATGAGCAGGGAACAGAGCCGAGTAAGCAGTAACAAAAATCACAAGAGTTCATTTCCATAAAACTACATGTTTACTTTGATAGTCTTTGCAATTGTAGCCCATATTGTATATATGTGCCCCCTGGACTTTCATACGATTTATTATTAATCTCATTATTTATTGTTCACAAGAAATGGTAGGGGTGACTGGCATGCCATGATACACCTAAGAGAGTTTGGGAACGGTGTTCATTCCCAGACCAGAGTTAATCAAGAAACGAAAAGGTTATTGACATTTAAAAATTATTTACATGTACTAAAAGTGGGGTTCAGTAGAAAGGTACTATAATCCCATTGGTTAGAGATACCGGGGGCTACTCAAATAATATACTGTCTCAAGTCATATTTAGAATTCCATTTTTCCTCTAAGAATGGCTTGGAAGTTTATTTTTTTCTTTAAAGAGTTTTCTTTCTTATTGCTCGTCAGTATTTGTCACCTGGACTCCGTCATGCCAATAAACATGTTCAGTTAAATCCTCACCCCCCACTGAAGGCAATTGCCAAAATGTCACCCATTGAATTATTTTATTCATTACTATTTTTCTGTAAAAATTTTATAAGCAAAAAACAATTATGGTATAGTGGGAAAGGGTTTATTTATTTTACAGTATAGAGGGCACAGTATTCCTTAATTTACAATGACAAGTTCAGTTTACTTGTTATTAACGTGACCCTGCAAAACTGCACATCTGATAATAATTTGACATGCTATAAAGAGGAATTGTGAGGCAATACAAGACTACGTAATTATGTCAGGGTGTAAAAACCTTTCTTCAGCACTTTCATGTCCCCCTATGCACAAATAGAAGAAACAGGAAAAAAAAGAAAAAAAAAAAACCCTTACGTGTTTAGGAGAATTAGGAACAAAACACCCCATTTTCAAGGGCGAATTAAGCACAAAGAGGCAATTTTCAATAGGAGTTAAGCACCATGCTTCAAATATAAGCATTTTTTAAATTCAGTGAAGGGCATCTCTAGGCATTTTCCAACTTTAGAAAAATAAAGCCTTTAAGTTTCACTGAATTCAATAGGATTTAGGCTCTTAAAAGTCTAAGCTACTTTTGAATATGCAGTTTATCCGCTTTTGAAAATTGTAACCAGGTTCTCTCTTGTACCACCATTACCATTACATCCCATCATGCAGTTAAAGGACTAACAGGTAGTTACTGGCCCTGAACGTGGAAAGAAAAAAATCCCCTCTAATTGTGCCCCCACTGGTACCAAACTCACCCAAGAGGGGTGCAAATATAAGATGACAGAGGATTACAGAACCAACCCAATTATACCACATCAGCACATTGTACCATTTAATGGGACAGCAAACTGTGCCTCTGACTCCAAACACTGATCATTTCTGTTCCTCCTCCCCCACACACTGACAAATTTGCAACAACACTTAGTTGCCTGGGGGGTTACTCCCAAGTAAGTGCTTTGAAAATGAGATTTTGGCCCTGTTGGGAGTTACCGTATCTTCAGGTGGGAGTTAAGGTATGGTACAGACTGTCCCTATTGCTTCCTTTGGGTTCGCTGAAAATAAAGTTAGTGGGACATAAGCAGATACAATTCCACTAAGCTGCCATAATTTGACTGGTGGCTATAGAGCTGTGCATGTTTACACCATCACTGAATTTACTCCAAATATAAGATGGCCCCTTTCATATACATTTAAGCAGGTTAATATTTAACTCAAATGATTTTAGCCGTGCCAAAGTCTGGGTCATGCATGAGTAAGCCGATTTCTATTATTTTTGTGCACCTTTTTCAGTGTTTCTCTGTTTGGTGTTTTAAATACTTTACAAAGGTAATGTTTAACTGGGATACATCACAAAGCTAAAATTTAACCAAAGCACTTGCCCTAAATTGCACTGAAGTTCTGAACTGTTTATGTAGCACGGGAAATAAGGTGTAAAGCATAAAGGATTGTCAAGACTATTTCATTGTCTGATGATGTCTAGAGCATTTGTTGAGGAAATACTTAGGATGGAACCCATCCATCTACACAAACCCACAGAAGCTTACATAATACCTGCTCTAAGAGACCACCAATTGAGAAGCTGAACAAATATGTGCAATGGGACATTATTTGCTACCCCAAGTCCAATATAAAAGGACTCAGTGGGGTCGGGCCACTAATGTACAGCAAAGTGGCTCTAGTTGTGTTGATGATCTGTGCAACTTGCACAGAGGGACTACAACTGCTACCCTGCGAGACCCACTCACTGATCCATTTTTTTGCAGATGGGTTTCACTCCCTTGACATGCCATCTGATCCAAGGCCTAGCAAAAAAATTAAATATAAATATTTCCAATTACTTCAATGGGCTTTAAGACTGCAAGGCATTTCTTACTTATGACAAGTTTTTACCCTGGACTTCATTCTGCATCAAGATTATATGAACCTTGTTTCGAAGGAGATTCATGCTATCATGCACTGCATAAGTTTTCCTTCTAAATCATTTTTTCATGACAGTTAATAGATTCTCTTATCATTGTTGAATCTGGTCCAAGAAGTAAGTTACAAAAAATAAATGAATGCCATTCTGCCTAGGATTTAGAAAATGCAAGTTAAGCGGCTGTCAGTTATCCCAAGTAATTAAAAGTACCACTTTAAAAATAATTCTGCCAATTAATATTTTCATTCTTGCCAGGTTTTTTTCCAGCCTCTTTGTGTTCCTTAGTGTTTAGACAACACATGTACAAGCTTCAGTGCTCTAGTTCTGAGGATTGCCAAGCAGCTGTTGAGAAGCAACTTAAAACAGCACAATTTGCAAAACATCTCAGACTGAAGGACTGGACTTAGGAAAACTACTGTCAATGTTATAGAGTCAACTCAAAAGACCTTTGCTTGATGATGCTCTTTTAAATGACTAATACTTTATAACAAGCATTACAAGACCTTCAGAATTAAGACAGGTTAAAAATAATAAAGGCAAAAGCAGCGCATATATATTACTCAGACTTCTACAAGATCATCAACCCTATTTGCATATGGCCCAAGCTCGTTCATGTGCTCTCTCAGGACCAAGCAAACTGATCAAATTATGTATTTCTGGTTTGAAACACAAGCTTTATAAAGTAGATTCAATATCACCATCTGAAACAGTAAGATGCCAAACTGTTCTCTTCTGACTTCAAAGAACCAGCTGTCTGTTGGGTTTGCCTTCAATTTTATCTGAAACAATAATCCTTAATGCCCAACTCCTACAAAACTATTTGCAGGACTGGGGCCTTAGACCAAACTGTACAGTTTACCCCCATTTCCTTCCTGAGCAGATTAGACTTTCAGAGCTTCCAGACTCAGAGCCATCATTTTTCTATTTTTACTCCTACTTCAAAAGAGAGCTCCAGCCTTCTGTTCCTAAAATAAGCCATAAAAATGGCCCAGAGTTCAGAAGCCCGAGACAAACTCCACTGGCATATATAATAGGAGGACCTTCTTACTAACATGTGATGAGAGAAATTAAATTATAGTTTACCACGGTCAAGTGAGAAAAAAACCAAACAAACTTAGAATTCATATGTAATCCAAGCTCAGACTTCAGAAAAAGCACCAAAATGCACTGTAATTCTGCAGGGGCAACACCTGCTTCAAGTGAACAAGCTGCACCAGACTGGGTCTAACAACTTGGTACACAGTATATCAGTTTACTTCTCGATTCTCCAACCTTGGCACCAGAAGGGTATCTGTTCCTAGATACATTTGTTTGCTTTTTAAGGATATAGTTTTCTAGATTCTGGTGTAAAAAGTAATTGATATATGACTCCTCTCTGAAACTTGTGTAAAAAAAATAAGAGACAGCCAATTCAAATACTTGCTTTCAACTGTCTGACTCACAATAATGACCATGCAAAAGTTTTAAACAGAAAAATATTCCCTAATTAAAACCACCAAACAATAATGATAAATCTTACCATAGGATTGCTGCCCTGGTTTAGGCCATTAAAACAATTGTTGTAATAATGACTCTCGATTATAATTTATATATTATTCTTTTCCCAGGCTAATTTTCTTCAAAGTGCATCTGATGCAAAGCTTCCAAGTCTCATGAGAAAACATAAATAGCACAACTCAAGGATTTTAAGCAAAAATATCATGCAGAACATACCAAAAAGGTGACACATTCTTTGACTATGATCAAAAATAAAATAGGCACTATTAAACAATGACATATCAAGGTACTTACCTGAAAATCTGTTGAATATTTTCAGCTTTGATTTCCTTGAGGATTTCACCATAGGGATGAGGATCATTTGGTTCTGCAGTTGCAGGGGAAGGAGGGCATTTTTTGTGTGCATAATACCCTACCACAAGTCCAAAAATAAATAAAGTCAAAACAGTGCAGAAAAGTTTAAGTATCTGACAAGAATTGCAGCGGTTGCTCTTTGGTGCCGGTCTTGTATAATGTGAGACATAGTCCGGGTCTTCCTGAAGTCGCTGAAATCTTCCTTTAGGAGAGGCTGAGGGCTGAATGGGCTCAAGGTCAAGATCAGGATTCTGGGAGATTCCCAAATGGTGCTGGGCTGTGCCATCCAGTCGGAAGTGGTCAAAGCCAGGCTCCTCCAGTTCCTTCTCCATGTCCCACTCCAGCTCCAGGGCAGTAGCCTGAAGGTCATCACTGTCAAGGTACTGAGAGGGCCCCTGTGGTCTCTGGTCTGCATTTACTTTGTGATAAGCCATCTTTTTACCTATTTAAAAAATAAGGGGGGGGGGGGGGGGGGAAATTAAAGTTTTTTCTCCTG